CACTTCTTTCAATAAAGACATTGTGTTGCATGCTATTTATTTGTTTAAATCATCTGTCATGCCTTAACATAAACCTCCTAAGAATGTTCGAATTTGGATTTGTTTGCACGTGCAACTGAGATCTTATTAACATTAGTTGTCACTCTGTTGGTTTGACCTAAGTGACAATATGCTGGTACCTGCCAGGCATTGACCAACTATGATAACAAACAGTTAAACAGCAATAAGTAGAGATTTATCCCTTTATTTCCCCCAACTACCCTACCTGGAGAATGTTCTGTTACAGCATGAAGGCACAACACATTAAATATTTTGTGGCTATGGTCTAATAACACTTGTGTTACAACAACAGTATTGTATATGAGAATCAACACGAACTCTGCCATTTCAACAAAATTGTAGACACACATTTGCCAAATTTAAACTATTTTTGAATAGTGATTTTTCTTTCATATATGCTAATTTTGAGACATTAGTTTTGCATAAGTGACAAGTACGTAATATTATATCACTTTAACAGATAACACTTTCCCATTACTCTTTCACTTAATGGTACTAATTAAGTGACTTTGCTTTTGCCTACTTTGAAAATAAGAATATCAAAAAATAGGTTCTGAATTTCCAAGCTTTTGCAGAGTTCCCTTTTGGTACAAGGTTTTCATTTTTTCTTTCATCTTTATTTTTACAGAATTCCAGCATCATAAGCTATCATACGAAAAGATTTCAGAACCTTTTTTTAAACACAAGTGTTTGAGATCCTTTGAACAATGTGTGTCAAGACAGACTACAAACGCAGAAACACCTCACTAAAAGAAATAACAACAAAGAGGTAAATTAAAAAAAAAAAGGAAAGAAGCAACCATAAAACACAGAATTATGCTACAACATTTTTAGGTGAACGTTATAAGTACACAAAAATTGTTAATAATAACTTGCTTCTATTTACAAATACTTTAACACTGATTGACTTACAAGTGTCCACTAACGTTGTTAACAGCACAATAGGTTTAATGCTTATCTTTTTAAGTTTTGTTTGAAGTATAATGTCAAGTATAGCGGTCCCAGCACAAATCAATGACAAAAAGAGCACAATTTTCTAACTGGATATGTTTGTCAGTCACTCTAATCCATATAACTTCCTTACTCTCCAAATGCATATTCTATTGTTCATAGCAGCAGTCCAGGGTCAAAATAAAATGCAATAATAAAAAAAAATTTGCACAACGGAGAGATCTCTGGAAAGTTTAATCAATTCTAGTAAACAAGATCACATGGCTAGTAGAACTACTTTCTCTCTTATGTTGCAAAACATTATATCCTCCATAGTGCTAACACAAAATTATGGGTATCCCTGCTAGAAGGGGCATAGTTGTAGAGATCTATTGAATACATAAAGCTCTGACACACACATATTAGCATGTCTATTTAGATTAAAGTTATTAGGTCCCATATAGCCTTTTCTTAGAGTTGGTGCTCCTTAGGACTCTCAATAGCACCTCCTGCTTGCTTATAAGACTTTAGATTCGCCAGAGGAATGTCTGTCATGTGGCTGCCATTGTTGAAATGGCCTTCGTTGGAGCCATACTGCTTACGGTCATTGAACTGGTTCCTGTTGCTGTCTTCTTTCCAGGCTCTGGTCAGGGTGTGCCCATTCACAAGCTTGTCCTTCTTGACCCATTCTTTCTGGGATGCAAAGGTTGAGAGAGGAGATTTTGGGTGTTGATAGGGACCCAAGCCAGGAGGCATCCAGCAATTATCTGAGTGACCCAAAACCAAGCACTCTTGGGTGCACATCTCTGTAGCTTCAGCTAATCCTCGGGGACCCAGAGGCCCATCTGTAGAGGACAAGAGACAGAGAAAACAAGAAAAGAAAATGGTTAAATTTTTTTCTCCGAGACAGAGTCTCACTCTGTTGCCAGCGCTAGGGTGCAGTGGTACAATCATAACTCCCTGCAGCCTCAAACTCCTGGGCTCAGGTGACACTCTAGCTCAACCTCCCAAGTACAAGTAGGACTACAGTAGCATTACAG